CTGTAATCAGTTCCTAATGAAATTACAAACAGGAAACACAGTCTCTCACATTAGGCAAGGTTTATAAGTAAATAGAACAAGATTTGCATGAGATGATTTTGGATGGGCACAAACCAGGACAATGTGGCTTATTTTTGGTTCATGGCATGACCAGTTTGGGAGCCACAAGCCATCACAAACTTTAAAGAGCTAAACAAACTGGTTCAGTTCATGAGGTTCATATAGAATGCCCCCCTAGTATGCTACAGACACCAAACTCGCAGGGAATCTCCAGATGACTCTCCACAACCTGCCCTCCATGTTTGGTGAGAATTGGATTTATGGGGTCTAAGTTACACCCCCCCATCGAGTTGCCCCCATCTTCCATTGATTCCAATGGAGGAGGGGGAGAGCAAAAAAAGCAGGAGCAATAGAAGCCCAACAGAACAGAATCAAAGTCCCAGAGAGTCTCTGCAGTAGAAACTGAAGGTGGGGGGCATTTTTACAAGCCCAGCAGAATGTGTGCAATGTTCTAGTGTCCAGCAGAACTCCCGTCAACGTGGCAATGCTAGCTCTATCACAGTTCAAGCAGGGGATGGGGCTTTTTTGCAAGCCTAACAGAACCAGTACAATGTACAGATTGCCCAGCAGTACCAGGGCAATCACAGAGTACCCAGCAGAATTCAGTGCCACTGGCACTGCAAGCTGAAAAGAACTGATCTCAAAGCACAGAGTCACAAATCCAAACAAGGGGGAGGGTGGGATTTTACAAGCTGTATGTAAGAAAATGGGAAATGAACACAAAGGAAGATTTTCAAAGTAAGGGGGAAAACCCTCTTGAAACTGACATGACTAGTTTGAAACTGACAAGAGAGTCTCCAAGGCTGGAGAATTCTGCCTCTCCCCATGTTGCTTTGAAGTTTGGTAAACATTTTGTTTGAGTGCAGACAGTCTGTATCCGTTCTGGAACTGACATAAACCTACAGGAACTGCTTGAAAGTTTGTGGAAAGTTTGTGCCAGTTGACCTGCCTTGAACTTCAGTTTACGAACCACAATCTGGCCAAAATTTGTCACCAACTTTAGTTTTTGAGTTGGTTCATATCCATTCCTTAACATGATACAGCATGAAAGCCATTATTGCTGCTTTTAGTTTTTTCAGGCAGCCATACTTAAAAAAAAATTATTATAGATTAACAAACAGAATGAACATTACACAACAGTGCATAATAACAGGAGAAATCATGCTGAGTATAAACTGTGAATCAACTTCCGATGTATTAAAAACATTCCTGTTTACCAATAACAAACAAGACTAAGAACAAATTGAACCTATTGAACCTCGTTTCCTAAGGGTCGCTCAGCCTTTCAGTCCATACAAGAGAATATTGAACCAATCTGCGCTCTGTAACAACTACGGTCTCAAGAAGTGTGCTGTGTTAAAAGTGAAGCCAAGAGGTGTAGCATGAGTTATGTGGTAAGAGATCGTTGTCTGACATGTATTGTAGGAAGGGGAACTATGTCTGTACAAAGTTGGAATGTGTTTTGTGTGACCCTGACTGCCCTGTAACCAGTGTGGTGCTGATTTTGTCCATAATAAATTGTTCCCAAACCTTATTCCTCCAAGCTTCCAGTGTTGGGGATCAGGCAGCCATACTTTTAAAATGAATGGCATTGTTCAAAGTTCTGACTGATACATTCCTGTTTTTTCGAAACTTAAAATGTATTTAGTTGCTTTAATGCATCTGACCATGACACATGAATATTTCAGAACTTTTTTGTTGATAATAGTCCTGCAAAATCTTGCTTTAAAATGCATTTTGTCTTACCAGTGCAGACATGGTCAAAGGTAGCAAAGTTCCAAAGTGGGGAAATAGATTTCTTTGATAAAGTTTGCACACTTCTTTGAAAATCTGCAACCATACTGAAATAATAGGTGTGCTGCTTTTCCCAGTGTAATTTTAATAGAAGGCATGTTAGGCTTGAGGCATAGCAAAAATAATAAAGATGTTGTAGGTTTATGCAGTTTTGCTTAAGTATATATACACTATAAGTGATTGCTTATGAACATTTGCACCACCACTTGTATCACATTTCATTAGCATAATTATACCAATAGAAAACATTCAGGCACATATATCAATATTCCCATTCTGCGTCTAAATTATAATAAACTATAACACTGGGGGCCACGGTGGCTCAGAGGTTAAGACGCTGAGCTGCAGACCAGAAGGTCGGTAGTTTGGCAGTTTGAGACCCGAGAGCTGCATGACGGAGTGAGCTCCTGTCTCTGGCCCCAGCTCCTGCCAACCTAGCAGTTTGAAAGAAAGAAACTTTAAATAGATAAATAGGTACCGCTTTGGTTGGAAGCTAACAGTGTTCTGTGTGCCTTGGCATTTACTCATGCCAGCCACATGACCACAGAAATGCATTTGAACAGC